TCCCCTGTAGTCGATTGCAGTTTGAGTCCCGGATCTGGTGGCTTAAACTCACAATGGGCATGTGTACATGCCCAAGATCCCAAGAGGAGGATGGAGGAGAAGGGATTGTGATGTGGCCACACCCCTCCTTACTTTCTGTCTCTCTCTGTTTTTCTGGCAACTGCACGCTCCCTATAACAAAAACCTCTCAAACAAACAAACCAAAAAACTCACATGAGGTGCATGTGCATACATGTCAAGATCACAAGAGGAGATTGGAGGAGAAGGGACTGCAGCATGGCCATCCCCCGGGGAGGTGATTCTTGCTTTCTGTCTCTTTGTCTCTCTGGAGAGCACACACATCCTATAGCAAAAATCTCTCTCTCGAAAAAAAAGAAAACTGAGAAAAAGAAATACATTGCGCAAAATGACATGTAGATGATGGCATGTAGATGTACAGTCCTACAAAAATTTGATGATACATTTGTGAAAAAGATAAAGGTTTCATTGTAACTGTTACTTATGCATTTATGTGCACACACATATAGGCTTACACAGATGTTTTTCATTGATCCATTACCTATTACTTTGCAAACTATTGAGAGATCTATGATCTAAAATAACAACTCTTTTATTACTTTATTTAGTTAGGTTTTGCTATAGGGTGTATGACTTGCCAGAGAGGGAGAGGAAAAAAGAGAAATAATCCCATGGGGTGATGACCACACAACAATCCCCTCTCTTCCATTCTCCTCTCTGATTTGGGTCTTGCATGCACACGCACCTGGAGTGATGTTCAAGCAGCAGGGTCTGGACTCAAACCACACAGTTGGCCATATGGGATTCAGCACCTTAACCTCCATGCCACCTGCCGGCCCCATTTTATTGCATTTATTCTGTGTGTGTGTTAAGAATTTCTATTGGATGTTTCCTTCATTCCATGTATGTAAGGTCAGTGGAGGTCATTGTACAATACTCAGCTACTGGTGGATGTGCTGGTCGGGGGGATTCATAAAAATCGTAGAATCCAGCAGGGGATACTGGAAGACAGGGCTCAGCTGGAACTGGTGACCAGGGCGCATACACAATGGCTTTTCTATCATGGTAGACTCGAGAGACCTGGACTTCTTACATGGCAGCTCAGGGTTATCAGAGGGGATGTTTTAAGAGATCCCAGTGGAAAACACAGGAATCCAAAGACTTAACTTTGACAGTCTCAGAATATCACATTCTTCATATTCTATTTTTCAAGAAAGTCACTGAAGTTAGCCCTGATTTAAGATTAGGGGATGAGACTACCTCTCAGTGGGAGGAGAGTAAAGAACACTTGGCAGCTTTAATCTACACACACCTAAACTACCCGATGGAGCACGCGAGGCACAGCACCCCTGTCCCTATACATCACCGGCCCAGTGTGCTCATGGCTGGCTGGACAGCGCTTAGTTCTGCACTGTGTTCTGGTTTTCTGCCAACAGAAGATGAGTCCAATCCCCAGCTTCGAGCAGCTTGATTCATGTGTTTGCAACCAACCCGTATTCCCTCCACTAAGTTAAGAGCCTTTGTGCCCTGCCGTGTCTATTACAAACATTGTATAGGTTTTCCCAGGCACAAGATCACAGAAGAGTAGGTCTCGGAGGGGCCCTAGGGATAAAATCTGGTCTTACTTTACAGATGAAGACATTTAGATCTAAGGCAGCTTCGTGCCCTTGCCAAGTCAGGGACCGGTGGCAGTCTGGATCTCCTTCTAGAATGCGAAAGAGGCGATCCTGATGCACCTGACATCCTGTTCACCTGGCTCTTCCCCTGAAATAGCCCTCTGGGTTGGTTCGACCTATTTCACCACGAAGCATTGAAAAAGAAACTGGCCATCCCAAGTACTATGTTTTAACTTCATACATCTAACCCTTTTCTCCGACCCTATTTAACTGTTTTCTGAGTACCAAGCACGCAGCTCTGTCCAGGCCACCGCATCTCCAGACTGAGCTCCCCTGCAAGAGACTCTCCTGGCTAAAAAGTTTTTTACGACAGTTACTTTTTCTTCTGTCACTTGTTTGACCACGTTATTTAAAGTATTTATTTCTATAACATGGTTCCCTCTCCTACTTCGATATACAGACGAGACAAGGGCCCAAAAATTATCTTAAATACAACCCGTTGGTTCTAAGAATTCCGAGATTATTATTCTACTCAGAGCAGCGATTCGGAGGGGGTGTTGGTAAAACCATCCCCAGATCAATGTGGCGGTCTAGTTGTTATTGCTCCTCTTGTTGTAAGAGGCATTTGCTCTTTAGATGCGATGCGGTGACACTCAACTTTGATTTATCTAGACCACAGGGACTCCGGGTGACTGCCCTGGGGACAGCCCTGGCAGCTTGGATTTCCTATTATTTGCGGTGCCTATCACCTCAGCTTTGTCTCCTACTGCAGCCAGTTTGCCTTCTTCTTGGACTGGCTGGGGGGGGGGGGGGGGGGTGTGGGCAGCACCCGCCGGCGACGGCGACACCTCCTTCCTTATCCCGCCCGTGCCAGTCCTTGGCTCCCACAGCTGGGCGGGATCCCTCTCCCCGCTCAGCCAGGAGGAGCCCCAGGCTGGTGGCCCCCCCTCCGGGGGAGGAAGGGCAGCAGCGAGATCCTTCACTCCAGGGGACGCCAAGGTCGAGCCAGGCGGGCCTTGCGGGGAGAAAGTGCAAGTGAGGCGCGTCCCGGGCCGGAGGCGGCGCTCGGGCTAGGGGCCGGCAGGTGGCTCCCCGGGGCTGGCGGCGGGCGCCCGCTCCCGCCCGCGGGGAGAAGGAACCAGATGGGCGGGTTCAAGCG